GATATTGTGGTTTTTTAACCAGTTGATGCAACAAATTCAAACTATACTTGCAGTAATTTACTTCAGCTGTTGTCATTCTTGTTACTCCTTCTAAAACATTACATGCAGAATTACAGCTAAAGCTGACCGATGCTTTTTAATAAACTTCAGTGTCAGTTGGTGGATACCCAGGAAAATAATCAAGAGGCCAGAAACTTAAACTCCACTGAATTATCTGTTAATCCAGCCTGAAGGGTGTGCTAAGAGAATCTGATCCTAGAGGAAATGGCCTTACTTCTATATAGCTTGGTTTTAGTACTCTTCAGTCTGCAGCCTTTTCTGAGTTGCTTAGTAGTCTCCCTCAGATGCTGTGGGAATGCTGCTCTGTGTATGACCCTGCTTTTCATGGTTATGAAATGTCATGTAAGCTTACTTACAGCTCTTACATCTGTGCAGGTGAAGTGATAAAACATGGTGACCTAAAGTGTATCTACAATGAAGGGATGCCTGTCTACAAATCTCCAATGGACAAAGGCAGCTTAATTATACAATTTTTGGTAAGCTTGACTGCTTTTCTGTAGCAAAGATGTCAGTGTTGGCATCAGGAGTAACTGTTTATTTTAAAATAAAATTGTAGGTCCAGTTCCCAGAGCACTACTGGCTCCCAAGGGAGAAATTGTGTCTGCTGGAGGCTCTGCTTCCTCCACGAGAAGATGTTATGATTACAGATGAGATGGATCAGGTCGACCTTGAAGATTTTGATCCAAGTGAGCAAACTTACCGTAACAGCGGGGGAGAAGCATATGAGGAAGATGAGGAGGGTCCAAGAACAGGAGTACAATGTCAGACATCTTAAAGCAAGGTGGAATGAATATCATCTAAAATGTAAATTTTCACAATGAAAACTGCATGGCTGTAATAGCCACTGCTTGTGGTTTTTGTGTTCAGCAAATTGAGTTGCTGCGCTGTCAGTATCACCTTTTTGTAACTAATTTATATTGTGTTCATGTAGTCTTTATATATAAAGCAAATGTCACACAGCTGAGAACCAACTTGAGTTGGTATACATTTTCCTTTGCTGTGAAGGTTCTCAATTTGTTTCACCTGTGCTATTTATATAAGACTTTGGCAATATTGATAAGGCTAAGTGGAGTGTCTTATGTAAATACTTTCATACTGGAAAATTAATTTCATAGAGTAAAACATAGCCAAAATAACTTCTAATAAATAGAACTCTTCACATTTTATCATGCTTCCTTGTACTTTCTAAGCTACTCCAGAGCCCCCTTTATTTAAATAGGCTTCTCTAAGCTTAGACTCCTATCACCTAGCCTAGATTGTTCTCCATTTTCAGCTCTGTGTCAGCTGCCACACTAGTACCTGTCTCATTCTGTATTTCAAAAGAGTTTGTGCATGCCCTGCTCATTGGGTAATAGCATTCTGCCCTGTGTTCTTTTGTAGTATCAGTAGTATTTCTTCAGCTGCTTAGCTCTCTGTAAGTATAATTTAGGCTTCTAATATGTACAGTATACCCCACATACTTCCAGTACACAAACAGACAAACACAACTTTGAGCTTCTGAAAGACCAGACTGTATTTTAGCCTTCCCTGGAAAGAGTTCTTACTCCCTCCTTGATGTTGGCTCCTTGGGCCTTAACTCAGATGGGTGAGCTGAAGCCACCTGTGTTGGGTATACTGCTGCTGTTTCATAACATGACAAATTTCCAGAGTAGAGTGATCACATTAAAGCTTTTTTTCCTTTTATGTGTTCCCTAGTAGAGTTTGTATTAAGTCAGGGTTGGAAACAACTAGCACTCTGTAGTGAAATTAAAGCATGATGAATAAGCTACATGTCACCATACAATTGCTGGAACAGGTGTTCAACTTCAGTGACCCCCCTTGCACTCAGCGGACAACACCGAGATGAGTGCAGGCTAGCATTTCCCACACATAGAACACAGGGCCTCACTCGCTCTTCCTTTTACTAAAATAAGCTGCAGCCAGACTTGGTCAACACTTCCCAGCTCCAGTCTATTTCTGTGTAAAGGCAAGGGAGATTAACTGAGCAGTTACTTCACCCATGACTACATCTTTCCAAAAATACATTTTTTCCAAGAATTAGACAGAAGTTACTTGCATCTGTAGCTTTTATTTTAAAAAACAGTAAAGCTTTCTCTCATGCTAAACAATCAAAATTGCATACAAACTTATTTCATTGTGCAGGTCAGCATTAGTGAAATGCTTTTGCCATACTAAAAAAATTACATAGGACAGTAGTATTCCTATCACAACAGCTAACCAAAGGGTTTAAGTCAAGACATTTAAACTGGACAATCATAAATATGAATTTCTTGGTCATCTCCAACGGATACAATTTTGGACCCAGTTCCATTGTATTTCACTCCCCAAACCTGCAAATATGACATGCACAAGGTTATCAACAGAAGACAAAAAAAAGTCTTATAGCAGTCATTTATTTGCTACAACAAGCAGAAGAGGATTATTTAAGATCACCTTATTAGAAGCTGGTCCAATTACAGCCTGTGCTTTAACAGCAGACGAGGCTGATGAAACAGAGGAGGACACTGCCATCTAGTAGCCTGACAGGTTCTTACTTTCCACTCCTACTGACAATGCGTTACACAATCTAGAGAGACTTGAAGAAGGCTGGAAAAGTACTTGCCCCCTTTGCATAAATCAAACTGAACATCTTCACTCTTACCCATCCCTTCTTCCTTTCTGAAGAGTATTTTACAGTGTTCTCCGGAAAGCAAGAGAGAAAGTATTTTTCACAGACTGACACATCATGATGCAGTGAAGAATGATCCAGTTTATTCTTGGGCTAATTAAGAGAGCAATTTACTTACAAGTGCAAAACTCTGAAAAATTCAGGTCACTCCTCTGACTTAACTTACAACAGTTACACATACTTTCAAGTGACCCCTGCCACCATCATCAGGAAGACGAGGGAAGGCTACCCAGCATATTAACATAGGATTGCAGAATGGGTATATTGACAATAGCATGTTTTGGGGAATCTTGTATGCCATTTTACATTAATACCTTTAAAAACCAGCCTTCCCAGGAGCTGATAGATCTCTGCCTTCCACAGACTTACGAGATTATAGACAACAGCTTAAACCACTGGAAATCCAATTCCGCTTGAAATACTAAAACCCCCATAGCTGTATGTAACTGAAAAGGTTACCATCAAAAAAGTACCATGGAAGAAAGGGCTCAATTAAAATCTGAAAGAATTTCCTGTGTTAAATCTTCCTCTATGATCCATTAAAAATTAGCATTGTTCTTTTTAACACCTAACATTTGGAAGAGGTAACTTGGTAGATATCCATCTTCCTCTTCCCTCACGGGGTAGCTATCACTAAGCAAAAAAATAAAGTAAAAAAAATAGGGTATCACAGACATTTGAGGACGAAAAAGTCCCAAGTTTCAAGGGTGCTTTCAAGCATCTTCTTAGAGAATTCCATCCTCCTAAATATTTTTTTTCCCCTCCTTACACAAGCACACAAGTGCAAGTGACAGAAATAAGTAAGACCATAGACAAAAAAATAGAGTCCAGTAAGAATCCTTTTGGCCACTCAGGATTGCCCTTATGGACCTGAAAAGTGTAATGACGTGAAAAGATCAGCCTACATGCTCGGAGTATTAGTTCAAGAGCCAAATAATCCTGAATAACTTCTAAGATTTCATTACAGCAAGCTAAATCCAACCCCAAAGCTATAGCACCAAGTTGAAGCACAAATGTGCACAACTACACAACTACAGTTCTCCTGTGACACAGTGACCTAGGTAAAGCAATAGTAGACATACCTGATCTTGGTGGTCAAAGAAAGTGTGAACACAGGTTCTTGTTCCAGCATCCCAAACTTTTACACTTTTATCAGATGAACTGAAAAACGGTATTGATCAATGTTTAAATTAATAGATGAACTACAGTCCACTGCAAAGCTTAAAAGATCTCACATGGTAGACATAAGAAACCCTCTTTCACACATCAAATACAGGCATAAAGTAGCAAAGGATATTCCACCAGGTTCCAGTTACCTTTAAAACATATTTACTGTCTCAACATCTGCAACATGAAAATGCAGACTTCCATTTTAGCCAGAAAATCACATGAAGCAAGTTTTTTGGATAAAGTCCTGTCACACATACTTGGTCCCCCAACTGCCTGAACTGTTTTAAGAGTTAACATTGAAGTTCAACTAGATTAATGTGCTAATGTTAGATTGCAGTTTTTAGTTCAAAAGCAATTCTACAGCTACCTACAATCAAATTGCCCTTCTCTTAGGTTTACATGTTCTTCACTTGTAGAGAACTACACTGCAGTGGGATGACTTACACTATAAAATGCTATTCACTACAACTGGTATTACATTACAGGTTGGCTCTTAAGTCTTTAACTGTAATGTATGTTATTCCATTATAGATTCCATTGCAGTTTGTACACATTTACTTTTTATGATCCATCTCCCTTTATAAATATAGAATTATTTCCCCCCCCACCCCCCCAGCAAGCATAAACAAGTTAAAAATCCTCAATACCTGGAAACAAAATGGGTGTCATCAGGACAAAATGCTACATTTAATACCCAGGATCCATGACCACTTAACGTGCCAGCCAAGTTTGCATGTTGCCTGTGGAAAGAACAAATTTTAACATTTGGTTTGTGAATTCCAGGGAAAAAAGCAACAGGAATATACTCTAGCTAGTGCAATCAGAAACAGTTCAGTGCAAGGTCATGGAAGGTGACTTCTGGACATCTGTCTATCCAAGCTGAACTGGTGTTACAACAGATTCTGTTTTCCCATTTCAAATAGTTAACATAAAAGTAAGTCACTAAGAAGGTACATTGGTGAACAAAACAGTTTCACCACAAAGGAGGCAAAGTAATGCAGGTTTAGGGGAGTGAAGATCACTGAAGCAGTGCCTTTTCCTCCCCAGCGTCTTCCAAGTTTTTGCAACAATGCAACAGAAATAGGTCATAAATATAATTTCTTGGGTACAGAACAGATGTTTGAGATGGATAAACACAAACATGCAGGACAGATATACAAAACAATTAGCCTGTTGCCTACAAGGCAAATATGAGGAAAGTTTTTTTTTTGTTTTTTTTTTTTTTTTTAATAAGTTAAGGCTGTGTCATGGTTTAGCCCCAGCCAGCAACGAAGCACCACGCGGCCGCTCACTCGCTCACTCCCCCACAGTGGGACAGGGGAGAGAATCAGAAGAGTACAAGTGAGGAAACTCATAGTTTGAGATAAAGACAGTTTAATAGGGAAAGCAAAAGCTGCAGATGCAAGCAAAGCAAAACGCAGAATTCATTCACTACTCCCCATGGGCAGGCAGGTGCTCAGCCTTCTCCAGGGAAGCAGGGCTGCATCACGTGTAATGCTTTCTTAGGAAGACACGCCATCACTCCAAACTTCCGTCCACCCCCCTTCCTTCTTCTTCATCCCAACTTTATATACTGAGCATGACGTCATATGGTATGGAATATCCCTGTGGCCAGCCTGGGTCAGCTGTCCGGGCTGTGTCCCCTCCCAGCTTCCCATGCACCCCCAGGCTTCTTGCGGGCAGGCCAGCACGAGAAGCTGGACTGTCCTCGACTACTTATCAACAACTTAAAACATCAGCACATTATCAACATCTTCTCATCCCAAATCCAAAACACAGCCTCACACTAGCTTCTGTGAAGAAAATTAACTCTATCCTGGCTGAAACCAGGACAGGCTGTCATCCACCTATGCACGTTTAAAAAACTATCTAGGGGTGTAGTATTTTATTATTTAAGATTATTTCTTACATAAAGAAGTCACCAAAAGCTGAAGGGAATTATAGGGAACAGAGGGCTTGGTATACTTTTTACAGCATCAGCCTCTCTGAATTAGTTACTTTCCTGTTCGCATGTCTTGCAAATAACAACTTACACATCGTAGATTTTGATATAGCCGTCATCTGAAGCAGTTACAAGTAACTGAGAATCTGGAGAAAATGTCAGTGAACGAATAGGCATCGCATGACCTGAAATTCAAAGTTTTATATGGCTTAGAACATAGCTATTCCTCTCACTAATGACAGTGCTTAAGAAGCTACACCAGAACAGCATTCCCTGTTAAAAGAAAGCAACCTCTGAAAAGTCTTTCTCTCTATGCCTATACAGGTTCTTTACACAACAGAAAAGGGAAACTGACAGTAATTCTGAACTTTGAATGTTAAGGCATGTCCACTGCAACACAAAAGTACCTTATCTTTTCAGCTGTGATCTTTATTTGATATTATGTCATATTTTCTAATATGATTTCATATTAAGTGGTTGGGTCTTTTAATTAACTATACAACTGGACAGAAGCTGCATGAACATTAAAAGACCGTTTATCTGTTAGAAAAATGCACGTCTTCTACAGTGTAAAATGTTCAGTTATTTTTTAAAACAGGAATAAATTGCTGTAAAACTGATACCACAGCAAAATGAAAAATCAGACGCATGGCAGCACACATTTGGCTTAGCTTCATTCCCTTGTATTGCACTGCAATACAAAAAGGAACTCTAATTTAAGAATTTAGTTAAGCATTACTGACTCTATCTTTTGAGATACAGATTTATGATGCAAACCTGAGTTTACAGTTTGCCTCTAATATTTTAAGCGGTTTAAGTTACAGCACACTAAATAACCAAATACTGTCTAACAGACAGAAACATCAACTCATTTATGCCATGGCTGTTGTATCTTATTCTGACTTGTGTTATGGCCTTTAATTTTGTTGAGGAATGAAGCCAGAACTTGGGTATTGCAAATACGCAAACCATTACCTTCCAGCGTATGCAGAAGTTTTCCAGTTGCAATATCAAAAATATTGATAATGCCATCTATTGCTCCACTGGCTAAGTATTTTCCATCTGGACTCTGTAATAAAACACAAAAAGTATACATTTAACAACGGTCTGCATTAATGCTATGTACCTCACTGACATTCTCTTGGCAACTTTTCACAAATATGATCTATGCAAGATACCTGGGCTTCAAAAATCCTGAACACTTCAGCTGACTTATTCACAGCGTGTGTATAAACAAGATCAAAGTATATTTTCTATATATGCAGGGAAGGACGTCGTGCAGTTTATATTTGGAACTATCAAACTATGGCTGTCATTTAGTATTATGTAGAAATAAACTAACAGATGGAAATAAAAATACCTGATTTACAACATATTACAGGAATAGCAATTTCACATAAGAAATCGTCAGTTGTGCTTCTTACATATGCAATGCTAAGGATGAACTTTCCTCTGGTGTCCAGAGAATATTCTTTCTTTCCGGTTTCAACACCAAAAATATTGACTTTTCCCACATGACTTCCTGTGGCAAGGTACTGGGAATCAGGTGAAAAAGCCAGGGACCAAGCATCAACTGTATTAAAATGAAAAAATCAGTTAGCTGAATACTGTTTCTTGTTTTTACTCAACAACGTCAGTTCTGTATGCACCTGTTTAGACATTTAACCCCCTAAGTAACCTTAATAGTCCAAATTCTACTAGATATTCTTAAGGGTGTACAAGCTCATGAAAGTTAACTTCCTTCTAGGTAATTAATGGAGCATAGCTTGAGCCATTTATCTCCGTTTAGTTGAAGATTACATTTTTCTAAGACCTTGGGCTTATATTAGAACCTCCTGTGACAATAAATTTAGAATTTTAAGACTGTGTGAGTTAAGTCTAAATTCTTACTTTTCTTCAGGTACCAAGCGATAGTAAACCAGTGAAAGAAAGCAACACTAGTATCTAGCAAAGCACAGACGATGCAGCAGAAATGCAGATATACGAACATAACATAGATCAACATTCCTCTCAACCAAATTTAAAAAACCTGTACCTTTCTATAGCAGTACAATGTATTTATCTGGCACAATGTATTCACAGTTTTTTTTCCTATAAGCTTAATATTAATTACGTAAAACACTGCAAGATCGTTCTTAAATTAGGGACTGCCAGTGGACCAATGAAATATTTAGAATAAGATCTTAGGTCTTGCATTCCAACCTGGAGGGCATAACATTGATCCAGACTTCAGCTTTCCTGTGTTTTGATTTGCGCACTCAGGACTGGATGTACTGCATAAATAAGCATCACCTACATGGCTCATACTCAGTGCAGTGCAGCACTTACAAAGCAAGTTCAGACTTCCTTTGTAAATCAACTTGAATAAGCCTTTGAATTATTTTTTAAAGTATCCTTTTATCAGTACATCTGTAAGAGCAAGCTGGTTTCCATTCTGCTTTATGCAGCTAGCAAAAAGCATACCTAAATGTATCTGAGGAAGCCTAAGTAGTGTGAAAAAATAAATGTAAAATTGTCTGATGCTACTTTATGTTGAGTTCATAAAATTATTAGGATTTTTGCAAACAAGGATTTAAAAAAACCCAAACTATTCATCTCATGTACCCTAATTATACACTGTACAGTATTTACTATGTAGAGTAAGTACTTTTCTTACGCAGAGACAGCTTAACACTGGTATCTTACCAGGACCAGCATCTATTGACTTGATTTGTTTGCCAGTTTCTAAATCCCAAAGGCGAATGTGGGCATCTAGGGAGCTGGATGCTGCAATGGAGCCTGTGTGGCTGATATCCACAGATACCACACCCAGCTGGTGACCCTCCAAAGTCCACTGTAGATCCAATTTTTCATCATTCCTTTTGTTCAAGGGAAAGAAGAGCCTAATTATGAATAGCTGGGGGTACTTAACCAATCTCCAACCTGAGACACAACAAACAAACAAGACAACCCACATTTCTCCCTTTATGTTTTACAAAATGGGAATCCAACTTCACCCATGAAATGTGAAGATACCTACGCACAAATTGCTCTCTCTACTTGAGGGAAAGAACCAAATCAACAAACGACCAAATCAATCGTTTACCGTATTTCTGCAAAGCATGTACTTCATCTTAAGTTTGTGAGTGGTCCCACTGAAATGTCCGTTACACATCAGTACATGGATACTCACACGGCAGACTGTTAATCTGTCGGCACACCGTGAAACGCAATAACTAACATTTTTATAATCATGGCCACAGAGCTACTCATGACATTAAAGGGAAGCACATACTTATTACTGCTTTGGCTAAGAGATAGGACAATTTATTTGCAAAAGCACACTTCAGTGTGACTTGCATGAGGATTATGAGGATTTTTTTTTTTTTAATAAGAAAGGAAAATGTAATTTCCTCTTTTACTCTATTCCTGTTATTCCTTTCACGGTACACATGCATTGTCACATTAAAAGTTGCATTTCTAATTCTTTGGTTTAGAAATACATCAAGTTGTACTATTCTCTGGCAGACGACATGTAACATTTGACATGCATTTTCAAAAGAGTTCGCATTCTTCGAAAATTAAAGCACATCAGAATGCTACCACCCCAAGAGAAAGCATGTGCCAATGAAGATAAGCTTGCTCAAGAGAACAGTTCTGTGTGCCAGGCTACCCCTCCCCTGATGTACTTCTAACATCCGTGCAAGAGGGTGGACATTCAAGACTGCTCCATACTGACTACTTCTAAAGCTTAAAACTGATTAATATGGAGCACTTCACCTACCACTTCCAGACCTTCACTAGATCATCCAAAGAACCAGAGATCACTGTTTCAGAACCATCTTTTTTATTTTTTCCCCAAGCAACTGACCAAATGGCATCATCATGAGCTAAAAGAGAATATAAACACAGAAATTAAAAATTAAGTGGTTTCTTTTGATGGATGACAACTACCAGTTTTGGTAGTGCTAAAATCGCCAACTATAATGCTGGCAACAGACAGGTCTACCGGTGCCCTGAGAGCCTTGTCTTCTTGTTTTCATTGTTTCAAAACACATGATGTATTTTGTTCACCAAGGTCACTGCCAAAAAACCAGCATAGCTGGTTTTGAGTTATTCAGATTTATACTTAATATAGACATAATCCAGGTCATTTCACAAGTATATCTGCCATCATCAATTTTACCTCATCCAAGAAGGTCAATATTATTTAATAGATATTAGTACTTTCTCACCTTGCTCTTGCTTGAAGAGAATACCATACTAGAAAGAAAAAATAATTAATATTACGTATGAGGAGCCTAAAAAAAAACCAAGCTAGCGATTAGTTTAATTAACACTGTGTTTTTAGTTACCTGAGTGGTCATGTCTTTATGGAAACAATCTTAACAGGAATGCTCTGGAAGGAGAAAACCCATTAGGCTCAGCAAAGACTCTGCCTCAGAAACACTGCTCTGGAAGGAGAAAACCCGGCAGGCACAGGAGTAAGGCCTGAGGGAAAGCCCGCCTTTTTGTCACCCTCCCCTCGCACGGCGAGGAGCGCCCGCTACGCAAGAGCCCAGCATCCCCCGCCG